CTCTAGCCTGGATGACAAAGTGAGACCCTGTCTCTCCTGACTTAAACAAACAAAAATCCCAGGTCGTGAAAAGTTTCTGCAAATTTGTGTTGTCCATTTTCTTCAAACTCAGCAGATGGATTCACAAACCTCAGGGTCTAGACTTCATTGAAAGTCAATTTCCACATTGCACGATATACTTTCATATCTGCCCACAAAGATAAAATAGTGTGAGTTTTCCTGCATTAGTATTGTACCTGATAACATTTTAAAGGTGTAATTCTACTTCTGTTAAAACTCTTCGTGTGTTTTTGCAGTAATTATAGAAATCTGCTTTGTTCTGCATCTGTAATGATGAGCATATTCAAGTTTATTAGGAATTAAGAAAAGCTCAGTTGAAATTATTCTTTCCTCTTCTTAGTTAGGTATGTGAGCTCAAATGAATACAAATAAGAACATCTCATTTTTACATAGCATTCTAAAATAAATAATGTACTTCCCAATAAGTACAGATAGAAAATGTATTATTGTTATGTTTAAAAATGAAATAAACTCAAAGAGGTTGTCATTTAATCAGCCCCACTTTGTTGGTAGCATAACCAGGATTAGAAAACACCGTTATATTAACGATGTAGGCTGTTTTTTGCTATTGCATACCACTATTCATCCCAGTTCTTCACAACACCTGTATCTATGTGTCAAGGAATGTAATGTCTGTCCTGATCCCTTTTGTATATAGTAGATTGGTCTTCAATAATTGTAAACTCCATGTAGAGTACCAGTTATAAGCTAAGGGTCTCTAGGTTGAGCAGGTGGAACTTTCTAAAAAGTGAGTGAAAATAAAGTGTGGACACTCCAGAAGATAAGATTGTGCTTCAGTGAAATATCCCAAAAGGAAATTGAAAAAATGATCTTATTTGCAATAGTGTCAAAAATAAAATACTTAGGAGTGAAATTAACTAAGGAGATGAAATATCTCTACAATGAAAATTATAAAACATCAATGAAAAGGGTTGAAGACACAAAAATGTGGGAAGATACCTCACATTCATGGATTAGAAAAAAATTAGTACTGTCGAAATGTCCATGCCACCCAAAGTAATTTATAGATCCATTGCCATCCTTGTCTGAAGTCCCATGGTGTGACAGACAATTGATTTTAAACAAAGGTGCCAAAAAACACAGATTAGGGAAAAGACAGCCTCTTCAATAAATGGTACTGGGAAAATTGGATATCTATATGCAAAAAGGGGAGACTAGGCCTCAATTTCTTGCCAAACACACACACACACAAAACTCAAAATGCATCAAAAATTTAAATAAAACCGAAATCTATGAAACTGAGAAAAAATAGGGAAAATTGTTTATGACATGGTACTGGGCAAGGACTTTTAAAAATAAGACTTCTTCAACCTGAGCCAAGGTGAGACCCTTCCTCTACTAAAAATAGAAAAATTTAGCCAGCCATTGTGGTGAGTGGCTGTAGTTCCAGCTATTTGGGAGGCTGAAGCAGAAGGATCACCTAAACCCAGAAGTTTGATGAGGCTGACACCATGACACCCTAGCCTGGGGAACTGAGAGAGATACTGTTTAAAAAAAGTAAACAAAATAAAATAATAAAATAGACTTCAAAAGCATAGCAACGAAAATACATAAATCTTTTTTCAGTTTTTAAACAAACTGAAAAACTTTTGTACAATAAAGGAAACAATTAACAGAGTAAAAAATCAGCCTGTAGAAAATTTGTAAAGTTAATGGCAAGAATATGTAGGAATTTTAACTCAAAGCAAAATAAATAAATAACCCAATTAAAAATGGGGAAAAGGCATTAATAAACATTTATCAAAGTAAAACATTCTAATAGTGAACAGGTACATGAAGAAATGCCCAATGTTGCTATTCATCAGAAAGATGTAAATCAAAACCACAATGAGATACTGCCTCATTCCACTTAGAATAGCTATAATAAAAAAAGACAAAAACAAGTGTCAGCAAGGAGATGGATAAAAGGAAACCCTCTACATTGTTGGTGGGGTTGTAACCTGGCGTAGCCACTATGGAAAACTGGATGATGGTTCCTCAAATGATTAAAAATAGAATTACAGGGTGGCACCTGTGGCTCAAAGGAGTAGGGCAGTAGCCCCATATACCAGAGGTGGTGGGTTCAAACCCAGCCCCAGCCAAAAATTGCAAAATAAATAAATAAATAAATAAATAAAATAAATAGAACTACTTTATGATCCAGACATTACACATACAGCAATTTGGCATATACCCAAAAGAAATGAAATCAGTATGTCAAAGATATATCTGCATGCCCATGTTTATTGCGGCACTATTTATAGTAGCCAAGATGTGAAATCAACCTAAGTGTCTAACAACAGACAAATGGATAAAGAAAATGGGGCCTATATTAATATGGCATACTATTCAGCCATAGGAAAGAATGAAGTTCTGTCATTTACAACAACACGGGTGGACATGGGGGACAGCATGTTAAGAGAAATAAGCCAGATACATGAAGGCAAATACTACATGATCTCACTCATAGGTGGACTCTGAAAAAAAAAAAAGAATTGACATCAGAGAAGCAGAGACCAGTATTGCAGTTAACAGAGACTGTGGAGGGGAGGGCGAAGAGGAGGATAGGGAAAGGTGAGTCCATACATGGAGTAATTCAGGTACATATGGTTAATGGTAAGCTATGACGTATTACAAAATAGCTGCAAGAGAGCTTTTGAATGTCTTCCCCTCCAAAAAAGATAAATGCATGAGGTAATAGTCACACTAAATCTCCTAAACTGATCATTCTACAACCTATTTATGTATTGAAAAAAATCACATCACACTTCATAAATATGTGCAGTGTGTCAATTAAAAAAAATTAAAAGTCCTGTGGAATTTTTTACAGATGTAAAACTATCCTAAAATTCATATGGAACCGCAAATGACCATTAATAGCTAAACCAATCTTGGGTTTAAAGCAAAGTTGAAGTCATCTCAATTTCTGCTTTTGAATTATGTCACAAAACTATAGTAATCCAAACAGTATAGTGCATAAAGACAGACATGGAGAGACTAACAGAATTGAATAGATAACACAGAAATAAACCCACATAGTTACAGGTAATTGATTTCAGACACAGATCATAAGAACACACTTGGGGAAAGGTCAGTCTCTTCAACAAATAGTGTTGGTTGAGATAACTGGATGTCACATGCAGAAGAATGAAATTAGACTCCTACTACACACATAAATCAAATCAAAATGGATTAAAAATTTAAATGTAAAACCTGAAATTTTAAAATCACTACAAGAAAACAGGAGAAAAATCTTCATGTAATTGATGTTGGCAATGTCGTGGATATGACACTAGAAGCACAGGCAACAAAAGCAAAAATAAGTCAGTGGGAACTAAAACGTTTCTGCAGTAGCAAAGAAAATAATGAACAAAATGAAAAGGCAGTTTATGAAATGTGAGAAAATATTTACAAACCATACATTTGATGTGAAATATGAGAAAATATTTATAAACAATTGATAATTCCTCAATAGCAAATAACTGGATTAAAAATCAGTAAAGTACCTGGATAGGCATTTTTCCAAAGAATATATGCAAATGGCCACTACATATATGAAAAAGTACTCAGCATCATTAATCATCAGGGAAATGCAAATCAAAACCACAATGAAAATGTCACTGCATGCCACCTGTTAGGATGGCTGTTCTCAAAAAGTCCAAAGGTGAGTGTTGGTGAGGTTGTGGAGGAAAGAGAGTGCTCATACCTTAGTGGCGAGGGTGTAAGTTGGTATAACCATTATGGAGGACATTTTGGAGTTTCCTTTAAAAATTGAATATAGAACTATCGTATGATCTAGCATTCAGGGGGTATGTATCCAAAGGAAGTAAAATCACCATCTCCAAGAGATATCTGCACTCCCATGCTCAGTGAAGCCTTATTTATTCTAATAAATATGTAGCAACAACCTAAGACTCTGTTGAAGGATGAATATGGATAAAGAAAATGTGGTAAATATACATGATGGAATATTACTCAAGCTTAAAAATGAAGGAACATCCTTCATTTTCCACAACATCTATGAGCCAGGAAGACATTGTGTTCAGTGAAATTAGCCAGACATAGACAAGTGCTGCATAAGCTCACTAAGAGCTGGAATCTGAGAAAGGCAGCCTCATAGAAACAGAGAGAAGGGTGGACACCAGGGAGGTGTCCCTTGGAGAGGAGACACGGAGTTGTCAGTCAAAGCATGCAAATATCCAGCATCATAAGACAAAAAAAGTGCTGGGATCTCAATGTACCACCTGGTGGCTGTAGTTAATGTATTGCATACTTGAAATTTATAGGAATTCTTAGGTATTCTCACCACACAGACACACAGGTAACAAGGTGATAAATACATTAATTAGCTTGGTCATGATAATCATTTCACAATGTATATCTGTATTAAACCTCGATGTTGTACAACTTAAATACCTATGTATGATTTTTATTTGTCAATTATACCTCAAAAAAACTGGGAGAAGACCTCTTTCAAATTCTAGATTTTCATTGTTTTTTGTCACTTCATGGTTCCTAATTTTTCTGTAGTGTGAGATCTCCATAAATAAAAATCAATTGAATGGTTCATTTAAAAAATCCTGCTTTCAAAATAAATTGTTTTCCTTCTCCTATGACTCTCCTTCATGGGAATTAATTACCAAATCCATCAAATACCCAGTAGACCAATAAAGTCACACGTACCTGAATTTTGATACATCCCAGTGTATAGCCCTACTGAACTGCTTATCTTTGGTTGCTGCATTTCTTTACCCCTCACAATGAACTAATATAAATCAGTTATTTAAGAATTTGAGAAAAATGTGTCTTTGCCTGTGTGTTTTAAATTTCACTAATTAAGATCCTGACTCATTTGTGACACTCACCGTTAGAATGAAAACGAATTCCGAGTTCATTATCTTTGTGTATGTTTTCATTCTTTTGCTCCTCTCATTGTGAAGGTCATGGACAGTGTAACTGTGGAAGATGTGACTGCAGAGTGGGCTGGTATGGGAAGAAGTGTGAGCACCCACGATCCTGCCCGCTGTCGGCTGAGGACAGCCTCAAGAAGTGTCAGGGAAGCTCTGATCTGCCTTGCTCTGGAAGGGGTAAGTGGGGTTTCTCAGGGCTTGTCACTGCCCCCTAATCCTATAATTCAAATGAATTTAGGTCACATATCTTATTTAAAAAATAGCTGAAATCCCTGAATAAGGGATGATTTGTCTTTTCAAAACTAATAATAAATCCAATTTCCATGAGTGAAAGTACATGGAGAAATCTCTTTCTCTCTCTCACACACACATACACACACAGTCAGCTCTCAGTCTGGCTTTGGGGTATGTTCAATTTCAGTTCAAGGTTGATTCAATCCATTATTACATTTTTAAAACAATTGAATGTTTGCTTAAATCTCTGTAAAGAGACTAATTGTCCACTGACATTTATTAAGCCAAGTAATATTATTTTGAGGAGATTTGTTGGCTTTTGAAAAAGGGTCAAATAAACAGACAGCTCCGAATAAGCTTTTGCTGTTTTTAGAAGGCTTGTAGCCTCAGGTGTGTTCTTTGCGTGAGATCAGTACAAATTGGAGAAGGAAACCTCATCTAGAGAAGTACACTGGTTCCTTTCTTTTTGATTTATCAAAACAAGAAATACAATTTCCTCTCTCACACAAGAACAGCAAAGTTAATATGAAGTATGCTTGCAGAGGAAGTGGTAATTGAAGTTATTATGAATTTTGTTCAAGAAAGAAGAAAAGGAAAAAGACTGTTTTCTCAAATGTTAGATCAGAAATTTAATTTTCGGCTGAGTTTTTATTTTTAGATATACTTTTTAATTGAGATATAACTAATACACCATAAAATTCACACACAACTCAGTATTTCTAATATAATCACAGAATTATGCAACCCATCACCATTATCTAATTCTAGAGAATTTTCATCACCACAGTAGCTCCTGTACCCTATGAGTGTCACTCCCCATTCTCTTGTCCCCCAACCTCTAGACAATATCAATCTACTTTCCATCTCTATGGATTTGTTTATGGTAGATATAAATGAAAACATAAAGTATGTGTTCTCTTTGCATCTGGATTTTTTCGCTTAGCATGTTTGCAAGGTTGATCAATGTGGTGGCATCTAGCATCATTCATGCCCTGTGATGGCTGAATAACATCCATTGTGTGGCTGCACCATAGTCGTTAACCATTCATCAGTTGATGGACATTTGGACACAGGTGGTTTCTGCTCTTTGCTTATTATGAATGATGCTGCTATGAATATCCACGTGCAAATTTTTGTGTGAACATGGTTTTAATTGGGGGGCATATATCCTACAAGTGGAATTTCTGGGTCATCTCTTGAATCTGTGTCTAACTGTCTGAGGTACTACAAACATGGCTGTACTGTACCCACCAAAATCTGTGAAGGTTCCAGTTTCTCCACATCCTTGCCATTGCTTGTCTGGTTTTTTTTTTTTTTCTTTTTTTTGATTACTTCAAGATTATTGGCACCATAGATATTTTCTCATATCCAATATTTTTCTCTAATGATTATGAATAGGATGTAGGTAGAAGAAATTTCTTTTTAATTTTGAAAATATTTCTGACCAGCCCTATGTTTCACCAATACCATGAGATAGGAACCATAGTTCCACCTGTGTTAAAAATACTGTCCTAATAGTGATGGGTAAGCTGAGCATGCTTTTAAACTAATGAAGATTAAAATTAGTATCACTCAGACTGCTGTTGTTTACTCAGAATTATAATCTACAGTCAAAAATGAATTATTTTACAGTATTATTTTATATTTACAAAAAGCTTTAGCTGTTATGTCCAGCCATGGTTAAAAAAAAAAAAAAAAGAACATAGGGGGGCTAATAGCTAATAAGTGTCTCTTTTTATTCAAAATCTGTGTATCTTTTCAAAAATCTGCTGTAATACTGGGAACAATTTCACTCCAAATTGAAAACCTTGGGGGTAAAGAAAATGACTTTATCTCAGAAATAGTTTTTTTACCGTTTGAGAAAACTTTTCCAGTTATATTTACCTAGAAAAGCTTAGGTACAGTGATTTTTGTTGTTATCTCAAAGTGATCAAGTGTGGGGAAGTCTGAAATGTCAAAATGTTACTTAAGTTTAGGGATGTTCATTCTGTAAAATTATTAGAATCTCAAAGGGTTATGTCACTAGTAGAAATAAATAGAAGTAAATAGAACAGAAATTAATAGGGATATGTTCTTCTTTTCAAAAGAAAACAATTGGACAAAATTTACACATTTTTCACATGTGTTTATATATTGAGGTTAAATAATGACAAATTATATAATGGAAAATTAACATATTTTATAAGCACATGAAATATCTCTCAAATATAGAAAATGAGCAAGTATATATTTGAACCATTGATTTTCTTATTTGTCTCTAATACTTTTAATATATAGAATAAGTGCAAGAAAATTATTGTGGCCTTATATGTGTATATATATTATTTATATATATATAAACTCCAACTAGATGTGTTCTTCCAACGCACATTAGTTCCTTGTCTTTCTTAAGATTCGCTAACTTATTTAGCTACCATTTTTAAATGAGAGTATATGTACAGTTTGATTAAGAAGTTATTGGATATAATAAAAATAATAATTAAAAAAATTACAGTTCATGTAAGCCTCTAGAAGTATCTTACAAATAAATAATAAGTTTCACTAGTCTCCTAACAGAGAAGTGAAGGTGTTGATGAGTGAAATGATTTCCCAGGGAACCATAACAAAATGAATTTCTGAGACTGAAAAGCAAGAATTTACTACGGCCAGCCTAGTGCTTGGGCCAGTGGTCAAAGACCCTTTTTTCCTCATGATGTTACATCTGCAAACTCATTGGCATCGGACGTTTCAAAGCAAATGGTCCACACGAACACTTTTCAAGGATTAGTTTTGCAACTTATGAATGAAAACTGCAGCTGTGGTTACAAGAGTGCAGAAAGCAATTACAGGGCCCATCAGTTCTCGAGCCTGATAGTCTCATCACCTCACCAGCTGAGATAAACTTAAAAAAAAAAAAAATTCTCCTGGTAGAATGTATTGAAGCTCTTCAGAGACCAAGTGAAGGCATTTTTTAAAATTAAAATTTAAATTAGATTACTTGCTTCTGCTGGTGATGACTAAGTGTGATCATTATGTTTTGAAGGTAGGGGAATGCCTTACCCCAGTGGTTCTCAACCTTCCTAAGGCTGCCATGTATTTTCATTGTTACAAAGAGGTCACGACCCACAGGCTGAGAACCGCTGCCTTAGATGATCTTCTAAATTCTCTGTTTTTCCTATAACTACTTGTTTTCCTATTCCTTATTGCCTATAGATATCTTTTCACTTAATTAGATGTATCTCATATAGACACATCATACAATATTCATTTTAATTTCAGCTCTTGGCAGTAGGGGTGGGGACCACTTTTTCCCTTCTACGTCAGTGCTCTGCTCAATCACTATCATGGCTTGTGATGGGTTCCCTGTGAGTTTTAAACACTTCCTGGCATAAAAATATATTCCTCTTATTACTGAGGTTCCCATGAGCATGAGTCAGACTGGTCCAAAAACATGAGCAAAAGTGTGTTGTGTTGCTTGTGAGCAGACGCCTCAAGAGGCAGAGAAAGATTTGCCATCCTTTCTTTCTGACTTGAGGATCTGCAGTACAGGAGATGGTCACGGATCCATTTGCCTGGGTTTCTGGGTGAGGATGGTTGGCAGGCACCGCAGCGGACATGACAAGAGCTTACGACATGAGTGAGAAAGAAACTTCTGTTTTTTCTAATAAGTACGAGTTGGGAGTTGTTTATTATAGCACGACTCTTCACTGGTCCACTTTTCCACATACAAAATTTAGGGAATAAAGTTAACTCAATGCAAATAAACTAGCAAACAACAAAAATCACCTTAAAACCTGAAGAGATAAGCATGTCAACAGCTGAGGCTTATAATTGTATGTATATATTATTATCATCAGTACCCAAATCAAGATAAATATAAACGTGCATTGACAGAGGATGCCAAAAATGCATACACAGTTTAAGAAAGGAAAAAACTGTATTAAATTTGTAATACTCAATATATACCAATAACAAAAGATGAATGCAAGTCACATTTCAGCACCTCTTGTAATTGCAGAAGTCAAATGTGACTTGAGTGTTACAATTTTAAAATGTAGACATGTTTTGGCAGCCTGTGTATTGTGCAAATAAATATATTTATTCTGTCAACAGTTTATATACTCTCATTCAATAGGTAAAATGCTAAGACCATAGATTGCATTTTTAAAACTTCCTAAAAACACAATGAGGAAAAAGTATAAAATTATTCTTTTTACAGAAAATGACATAGGAAATTTGAAGTTTCGCATCTTATGTAGTAAGATTTGGAGGTCCAGTTTATAATAATAATAAAAAAAATCTTACTATAGGCCCTCTGGCTCTAGCTCTGCTGTTATAGATAATTTACAGGTTATTTTAACATACCAATTTCCTTAACCATATATAATAAATATGTTTGCATGTTCTAAATGTAATACTGCCAAACACTGAAATGACTGCATAGTAATCCATTATGTGGTTGTAGCAAAATAATTTAACTCTTCCTTTTTCATTAATATCTGTATTCAAGTTCTAAGTGCCATAATTTATATTCTTATAGCAGAATTTGTGTATAAATCCTTAGAATTAATTCTTGGCTATGGAATGCATAGATTTAAATGAATCAAAATAGGTTAAATCTTTTCAGTTAAAACATGCCTAAACAATTCATAATGTCTAGAAAACTTGTCCAGCACACCACCTTATCAGGAGCGGAAGAGAGGTTCTCTTCACCCACCCGTAGTGACACTTAGGTAATCTGTTGGCCTTTATTGATGTGTTTTGCTCTTAGTGTTATAAACTTCTGCCATTTATCAGACCCCTTTCGTTGACTTTTATAATCACTGCAATGAATGATTTATCTGCAGGCATTGTCATGGAGAGGCTGTGTTGGCAGGATTTGCCTCCTTTGCTTATCGTTTGTCCTTGTGGCTAAGTCACCTCTTTGTTTGGGACTGGAATCCCATGTGCTTTGGTTGTCTGTC